AAAATAAGAAATTTATGTGATCTAGAATGTTTATTCGCATGTTTTAGCAAAAACATATTTAATCATTGATTTATTTAAATTTTATTTAAATATTAAATTATATAGATTTTTCAAAATTTGATGATATGATCAGTTATGTATATACTACTATGTAGAATTTGATTAGTTGATTATTTCATAAGCTAACATATTTTTTTTTATCTTTTTATTTTTCCATAAAAATGTTATTTGTTTTTTTAGATATATGATGATTTTGTTTTATTAGATTTCATTCTATATAAATTATTAATTTCGAAATTATATTAGAATATTAAATTAATATTAGATATGTTTATGTATATTCAAAATAGATTTGTTTACATATATTTAATTTTGAATTTAACTGTCTACTTTTTATGGTAAAATATTATTATGATTTCCATAAATATAGATAGTTGTTTTTTTGTTTTTTTTTTTGCTGTCATTAATTCTGTTTGGCAACTGGAATATATTTCATGAAATTTTTTTTTAAAATTGAGGGATGTTTGGCTTCAAGTTGTCCTTCCCAATTAATAGTATAGATGTGTGTATAATATACATATTAATGATACACATATATATATATATACGTAGTATCAAAATTAATAAGAAAAACTACATAATAACAAAAGACAGTTGCATGAGATTAATTTAAGTAATTATAACACAACTGTGAGAACTACGTAAGTGCTTACGATGTAGAAGATGTAGAAGATCAAATTCTTCATTATCTCGCCATGAACTATATATTCGAGTGAAGTGGCCGTCACTGGTCAGTCTCCGATTTACTCGATCTTTTTCTTTTTAAAAGCCGAAATTAATGAAATTTCATAAAAAGAATGAAAAAATAGTTAGTGTTTATATATACTCCTATTATATGAAAAATTATCACATCACACACTGTTCATCTTTACGTTTAGATTGCAACCAAAGAATGAAAAAGAAAACAACAACAAAAAGATTTGGTGTGCCCCTATGTTTGGGAAGTGAGTGCAGGCGTGGCCATCCCTTTTCGCCAAAATTCCAACACCGTCCAGTTATTTGCTTTGATATGTAAAATGATGTGTACATATATACAGATGTATAGTTTTTTTTTTTTGCCAACAAACTTTAAACATATCTATAGTTTTCTTACAACTATATATCTAGAGTTAATTATGTCCATGATTGATATATGACGTAGTTGCTAGCTAATTTCTCAAACAAATTTGAATATATGTTTCTTAGATAATTAGTTAATTTGTAGTTAAATTATGTATACATATTGATATAAAAAATATAGGATATAATTGAATTTTCTAATCACAAGATTTTGAACATTTAATTTTGTTTCTTTAAAATTTAATTTCTATTAAATATTTTTTTCTATTATATAAAAATTTAACAAGATTAATTTCGGAAAACTAGTCATGTGTAATGCGTACAACTTGACGTAAATTACACGCAAGTATTCTTTAAAGATATTATCTAGAGATATTAATGGACATGATTAATTATGCCTGATGTAAGAATCAATCAAGTAGATTAGGACATGATTCTGCTGAGACTTTGCTTTAATTTTTCTTTTTGATGTTTGTCTTTAAGCTTAAAATGGAAAGTGATTAAGGACCTCCTCAATTGTCTGCTTTGTTAAATATACTTCATGACCTTCTCGACGCACCGGAAGGTCATGGTAGAATCACCAGCAACATAAAAAAGTTGTCTAGGTTAAATGTATTAATTTTATCGCAAATGTCATTGTTAGATAATAGATACTATAAGATCTTGCATTATAATTGCATGTGTGAGATATTTCATTAATTAAGGTTTGATTGGTTTAGTCTGAAACCGTCCCGGTTCCATGCGTCTGACACTAATTTTTTAACCGGTTTGTAATGGTTCATAACAACAACAAAAAAAACTATATATATACATGATCATGTAGTAATATATATAAAATATAGATGCGTTATGGAATATACATATAGATGCGTTATGGTATATATATATATATATATATATACATGATCATGTAGTAACAAGTGAAAACTCTAAAAATGAGGAGGACATCTTAGATAATCTTATCATGTCATGTCATCATGTTTAACCTTTTGAGGTTTCAGATTTATCTCTGAGTTATACTGAAGGAGTGAAGGATAGACTCATAGAAGTTATCTCTTAGGAAAATATCAACGATTAACAATACTCAGGACCCAAAAAGTGGGGGATTAAGCATTGTATAATATATGTTATATGAAGCCTAAATTAATTCGATTTTGGCCCATGGCCCAACACATATAAAATATATACATCATCAATTCTATTCCTCTATGCAACATGAATAGCCAATGAATTAGCCACATTGACACATTCCCACTTCTCTGAATAACATGTTAGTTAGATCTTGATATGGAATCTTCCAGTTCTTGACGACTTCAGATGATTTACAAAAAGCAATTTAATATACATCAATAAAACGGTCTAAAACAAAACCGCATACCATGCGTCTGGGCATTTGCTGATAAATATACATGTGGTACTATACCGTATATGATCGAATGATTGGTTTAACGCACAAAAATATCTTGATCAATATGGACCACAAGTCTTTCTATGCAAAATGGTTGCAAAGTATTAAACTCTAAACCTTCGTTTTCATGTATTTACGATAGAATATGCTATTCCAAGGGGGTTGCGTAAAGCTTCGTCCAACAAAATTTACATGTTAAGCATTTGTAGTCTTTATTTTTTAAAATTGAATCACTTCCGCGTACGATTTTATAGTTCAGACACCCTTAATTCTCAAACTTCAAACGAGAAAAATATATATCAAACTCATTTGCATCTTTCATCAGCGTCTAGTTTTTTTTTTCGTGCAAATTAGTTGTTTGAGAATTCAAAATTCTTTGAAGTGACGAAGAAGAAGAAATTTCTGACTAACACAATAATAAAAAATTATACGTCTGAGAAATCTAAAGTAACTAACAATCCTTCAACCACACCTTAGTTTCTTAATTCGTTTTTTTGTTTCTTTTAGGTTCTTAGTGACTTGGAAAAATAAATAGGATAAGATGAAGTACTTGTAATTGATTCTTTGAATCCCATGAGTTCATAAAGTTAAAACTATATTCATGTAAATTGAAAAAAAAAATAACATAAATATCAATTGAAAAAACGCTAATTTCACACACACACACACACAACCTTAATTAATAAAATAGGAAAATTAAAAATCTCAATATGAAAATCTACGTAGACGAAGAAAAAGCGTTGATGTGTTTAAAACTTGTACGGTGTGAATTCTTACTATTTTAGGAAAGAAATGATTCCAAACTGGTCAAACAAGCAGCCCATGCTGACTCACACGTGCAATTTCAGGAAAACTCAAAACGGTCCGTTCTTATCTTCGAAACACCAGTTTGGTCTTTAAATTAAAGATCTGGCCATCTAAGAGCAAGATTATTAATAGCATCTTACATTTTAATCTTATGATTAGTTTAATAATAAATTAAAAAAAGGTAAGGGTTAAGAATTGTATTTGTGTTTTTTTGTTTTGAGACATCTTTATTGGTAGTATCTTAGGTTGGAGATTTAAAAAAAAAGAAAAATTATATAAAAATTAAATTAAATTAAAATTTATAATTTGAGAAAACTTTATAATTATTGAAAAACTAAAAAATTTAAAACATACATAAGATAAAATTAAGGAATGAAAGAAAGAAGAGAAAAATTAAGAAAATTCATTTTTTCCCTTTATATATATATCCTAGAGAATTTTTGAGGAATTCCCCTTTTAGTATATCCTTTTTTAAAAATATCCTTCTTTTCTATCCATTTTTAAAAATACCCCTTTTCAAATATGAAAAAATATAAACTTTTATATGTTTGATAAGGTACATCAAGATTATCATTACTACTGGAAGACTAAATCCAAATAACTATAAGGTTTTAACAGGTTCTAAACGGCATTTATAAGGTTTTTACAAGGTTTTTAAAAGGTTTACAAAGTTTTTATAAGGTTTTTAAATGATTTTTAAAAGGTTTTTATGCGGTATTTATGAATATATATATATATAAATTTACACACATATAAAGATAATTTGTGTCTATAAATATAAACTTACACATATATTTTTGATAAATTTCAAATTTTATAGTAACTTTTTTTATTATATATATATTTATTCTACTACCCAATAGAATCTTGCCACGTGTACGCTTCTTATCACAATACTTAGATCTTAAATAAGATAGCTTCTTAGACATTTTGATGTATTTTTGATTTAATTAAATCATAAATAATCCTAAGATCTATCTAAGATCTTGCCTATAATGATGGTCTAAGAATCTTATAACCATCACTATCTTTTAATCCATATCCTTTTAAAAATATACTCCTTATTGCTCTCTAACCAAATGTTTGAACGTTCTTTAAACAGCTGTATATGATATATATTACTATTTCAAACCTTACGGTTTGCAATTGTCATTGCACATAAATGAATATAATACACAACTATCTCGTGCGAATTTTCTTTTATGTCATGTGTTTGTATACTTTTTGGATTACAAAAAAAGAGTACATAGACTAGTTTTATAGGCTAGACATCGTCACAGGTAAACTATACATTTTTGGTCATGTTCGCTATGTTATGGTCAGCGTCGGCGAAAGCTGATGATGACAAAAGTCTTATATATATTGTTTGTTTGGCTGGCACTAATACTAAAACGATGAGCGATAGCGAACAAAAACCATGTTCGTTTTGTTTCATAGCTTGGAATATGGATATATATTAACAACTAGTGCTAGCTAGCCAAACTCAAACTTAGCTATAGTATTATAAATTATGTATACAATATTATCAGTATTATACGATTTAGCCGTCGAAATGTGTCGTGACTAACAATGAAGTTAGCACACTTATATATTCTAACGTTCATGGTTACGTTGCTAGCTTCTTATCATTGCTCGCGTACAAAACTTATGGATAAAAGTATATCAATGCAGTCTGTTTTTATTTTAATAATAAAATTGATTAATACAAAAGAGCCAGCTAAAAGTTTACAAAAATGTAAATTGTCAGGACAAATGACGACGAATATACAAAATACAAGTCGTAGAACCTAAATCTAAACCCTAGAGTTCGAATTCTACACTATATCCATTGATCAATTAATCTGAGTACTCAGACGAAAAGAATAAAATGTTTTGCTTCTTGTTGCGTCACCAATACATGATCAAATAAACCCAAATCCACTATTTTGTTGACCCGAGAACCCGATTCCGTTAACCGGGTCGACACTAAAACCCTGATGAGCCAATACGTCCGAGTTATTAAACCGAGGAATCCCCTCAGTCTGTTGCTGAGCTCCACCGTCACCGTAACGGAGACTCGGAACATTGTGACCAAGTCCGAGTTCCGGTACCGAGTTCTGTCCAACCAAATTGGCCCAATCAAAACTTGGCTCCCTGGCTAAACCGTGAAACCCGGTTTTCTGACTGGTTAAAACCGGTCTATGACTATGATGAGGCAGCGCGTTAGAAGAACCGGCGGCGAATCCCAAACTCCTGTTGTCGATCTCATGTAAAGATTCAAGAACGTCGTCGTATTGATGAGACGAAGAAGATGTGGACGAACCATTGTTGCTGTATTCTCGACCACCCGACAAAATTTGATTGTTGTAAACTTGTTTTTGTGCGCTTGTTTGCTTTTTGTATATTCGACATAGAACCCAATCATCAAGCTATATAATTAAGAAATGATTAAAAAAAATGTTACTATTAAACTTAAACATAACACTATAGAGATACAATTAATAATATAGAGGTACACTTTTTATTATAAATTTTGTTTACCTTAGCGCTTCCGTTTCTGCGAGAGGGTTCGAAGAGACGGTACTCATGCATGATCCAATTGGTTTTGGTGCCTTTTGGTGCTTTTCCAACGTAAAACACCAAAGCTTTCTTGATACCAACTCTTCTTCCTTCCGACGAGATGACTTTATCCGTACCGGTGGCTTTCCAATAACCAGACCCCGCAACACGGTTCGGTCTAGACCCGTTCGGATACTTCCTATCCCTCGGGCTGAAAAAATACCATTCTTTTTCACCAAATAACGCCTTACCTACAAACATTTAACCAATTAAGATAATAATACTTATTAGATAAACATAAGCTAGCTACAAAAAGACATATATATATATTTTGGTTCGAACAAGACCGAGCCGGTTAAGGTAACATACTTGGTAAAACCCAAGGATCGAATTTATAAAGATCGATCTCAGCTATGAGCTGGAGAGAGAAATCGTAGCCGGCGGCTTTCCTGCAGAGATACTCAACCATAAGCTCCTCGTCGGTCGGGTAAAACCTAAAACCCGGTGGTAAGCTCAGCTGAGCTAACGGGTCAAGTTCTTGGAGACCCATTTCTTTGTAATCTCTCCTCTTGATCTCTAAAGGAACAAAGAAAAATATCTTGCACTTTTTTTCTTATCGCAACAAAATATAACTTTGATGTCTTCTTTTTGTTTTCAAAGATTAAAGATTTGGAAGCTATGCTACTTGTGTGTGTATGTATATATAATAGGATAAGGCATAGTAGTACGAGTATGAGAACAACAAGGCCGCCCAATCTTTTCGTTAACGTGCAGCCTCATTGCGGGACCCACTTTAATGTTTATCGTGACACGTGGATCAATTAGAGCGTCGTGATTTATGCGATCCCCTTTTTGGTTCGTTGAACCTATACTCTAATGTTGATTTTTTATATTCATACTTTAATGCAATGTTGTGTGTATGACTATACCGCCTCGTGTGATTTATTTTTATTTTTATATAATTTGTATATTGTCAAAGGTTTCCCAAGTATTAGGGAAATATATAAGTCAAAGTAATTACAAACATTTGTATCTTCAGAACGATAGGTTATGTGATTCTTAATACAGTACTCTTGAGATTTTCCTATAATTTACGTCTCAAATTTCTTTGAAAGATCTAGTTACATAATAATTTTGACAATATACAAAAAATCTGTATCAAATAAAATTATTTATTAAAGTCATGAAAATACTATTCTTTTTGTTTTGAGCAATGAAAAAAAAATCATAGTCTAAAAGTACAAATATTGGTATTTTTGTAATGGGTATGTGCCAAATTCTTCTCTTTCTTTTTTTTTTGTTCTTTTTCTTTTTGGATTTTTGGTCAAGAAGAAATTAAGGACAGGTGTAAGTGAATGAAGGATAGGGTTGAGTTCACTGGATGATAACATGAAAGCGTTTTTCATACGGATAGAACTACCGAGAGGACGACACATGTCTCTTCTCTATAGGTTGAGTTAGGCGGGATCTCTTTCTTCTTTGTCAAAAAATGCCGTTACAGATCAGACTCAGCTAAACGAACAATACAAAACACGAGTTGATGATGATGATGATGATGCATGCATGCTGACGACTCTCCATCATTCTTTTTCTCCAAGTTTTGAAGTCACCATACTGTTATTTTTTATTGACCCCAAATCAGAGATCAGGTTGTAATTCTAAAACGTGGCTATACGTATACATATACATATACGGCTTTCGTGGTTGAGAAATGAAAACATATGTTTTTAGTAAGTACGTCTAACACAAATACATTTCCTTTTTTTTGTTTTGTTAAAGATAACACATGGTTATATATGTATTATGTTCACATAGTTAACTGGCTTTCGTTCGGTGATGCTGTAAATATAATTCTAAGCGAATAGAAGAAGGAATTTGGGGTTTCTTTCACTCAATAGCTTTCGTGTCACGGGGCATCATATATATAATCTGGTGTTGTTAACTCGTCTCTTCATATATGTCTTTTCCAATAAAGAAGATCCACACCAATTTATAAGTGTAATTGAAAAACTGCTAATTGGCGATGTCATGCACATATCATTACGTTTATGTCATGCATATTTCACAATCGCATAACGTGCATGTAAACCCGTGAATTTGGGTCCAAATTCAAAAGTCAAAAGTGTAAGATGGAATGAGTTTCAACTATTGACATGTGACTATATATGTGAGTTTATATAACGGTTTTTAAACCATATATGACAATACCAATTTTCATACATCTATACTGCTACGAAAGGTTCAACTACTGTATGTCTCAAAGTTTAAAATCAAATCGTTTGTTGTATATAGTGATTTCATGTTTTTAATTAGGATCAAAAATTTCTTATATTAAATTTTTTTATTATATTAAAAAGTAAAAACACATTTAAATACTTCATTGCATAAATTCTAACTATTAACCTTGCTAGTGCGATAACTATTACAACATATAGATCCATATCCCATATATTAAAAAACTAAAAGGTATTTCGATAAAGAACATATATAAATAGTAGAAAACCAAACTATGTAAAGCTAATTAATATGCTCGTCAAGTTGGAGATATATGGATCATATTGAGTACCAACTTGTGCATATTATATGTCTTTTCATATTCTTAAAATAGAATTGAAATACGATAAAAAGGGAATCCAACGAATGAAGATGACCATCGGAGATCAAACCCCACCTTCATCCAACTATATCTTATCTTTGAGATTGATTTTAAAAATACGTATATAGTTTTTCCATGGTTAAATAAAAATAAATAACATATATATAGCTAACGAACATTTTGCAGGGCAATGCTAATGTTTAATTAAAATCGTGTATTAAATTACTAGTTAAGATTATTTGTAACATACGAATATTTTCATTTTTGTCGGGCAATGATGTCTTTCAAAGAAAAAACAAACAAACTGAAACTACGTCTTACTTGGCTTTTTGTGTTTATAGACATTAGTTTTTATATACTTAAGTGTGATTGGTGAGTTTATGAGTTTATGTTTTAGTGGTATGTAAGCCACGTGGTAAGAACAGTAGCTCTGAAGTGGCAAAGTAGAGCCCCACATTTTTGTTGTTCGATAACATCATTTACCAGACCTCTCAAAATCAAAAGCTGGAGTCTCCTGGAAAATTCTTAGATAAGAGAAAAAAGCGAAAACATAGGTTTTTGACAAATCACTTTATTCAACTACGTATTATACTATACCATATCAGATTCTATTTTGGGGCATTTGAGTTTACACGTCGCAGCTTGTTTTACTTTTATATATTTTGACGCAGTGCCTCCTCATAAGTATGGATGTTAGGTTAAGTTGATGAGTACTGAATACTGATGTTGGCAACATTTTATTTTCTTTTTTGATGTAAACAAACGCTAAACGTGGGAAAAATCTCGGATAAGGTCTTTGGTCGGTTTAGGTAGGTGTCGATAAATTTCAACAGCCGATAAGGTCTGTTTGATTATTAAGGCCTTTTATTGTTTGATACAGGCCCATTCATCGTTGGTTTGAATAACCTGTTTTGATATATATACTGTTGATTGTCTAAACTATTTTCAACATAAAAAATAAATAGTTTATGGGCTATGCAATGTATATGTTGAGAATAATTTAGACATTTTATTTATTATATATTAGTGAACCTTATTACCTATCAGCCTATAAAATTTAATATTATATTCACAGAGATATTGAACTAAATATTTATTATGTTTTTGATATTTTGGCAATTATAAAGGCAAATTTTACTTAGTATAATTAATAAGTAGTAAATAAAAATATTATTTCACCAAAAGATAAGTCTGCTAAAAATACAAGATAAGTATGCTACACGTGCATAAACAAAATAATTATATTTATTGAGATTTGATTTCTTAATAAAAATGATTGAATACAAAATGATCGATTACAAAAAAAAAAAAAAGTTTGTTTTTTCCTTTTTACAAAAATATTGTAGTATGATATCATGTAAACCTTTTACAGTCAAAACAAAACAACAATCCCAATCAAAAAGTCTTTTTATCTCATGAATGATCCATCTCTTGCTTGGGGGGATTCTCCAAGATTTGATTGCAGCAACATTCTCCTAACAACGCTTTTCATTCTCTCCATCTTCTCAGCATCAGGATCTTCACTTACTGAATCCGCAGAAGTAGTGATGTTGGTTTGGTGCTTTCGGGAAAGTTCCATTACAATGTTCGTAATCTCGTCTTGCGGCAATTTGGTGTCTAGAATTTTGACTATCTCAGAACCAACGACGTTTCCTCGGCGCAAACCTACACATTCTTTGTCAAACTGAAGCCCAAACCTCTCAACGAACATGCACCTTATGTACTGAAGCTCATTAAGCTCGCCGATCCTTGATGCAGCAAATATAAGTCCGGCCATTGCTTCTTTAGTTACGTCTGGTAACAGATGAACATCACTGCATGTGTAGAGAGAAACACGAGGATATTACAATTAGCTAGGGTTTTTGAACCGCATAGATCTACCACGTTACCGTATAACACAGGTAATATATAACAAGAGAAAATTACCTTTGATGATGTAAAACAGATATATCCTTCAAGATGGATGTACAGAAGTACTCGACCTGATCGTACGCCAATAACCTTCTCTCATCTTCATAGAACTGCTTCGCCTATGATTTCAATTTGCAAACCAAATGAGCATGTCGTGTATTAAAAGTTTCTAATCAGTTAAAGCAGAATTAACATGATTATCCATTGAGAATTTGAAATTATTTTTTTAGATTACCTTAGGAATAGTTTCTGAAAGGCGGCCATTGGGAAGGAGCTGAGTTATATCAGAGCGAGATTGTCTGAGCATACACTCTCTTCGGCTCCGATGTAACTTGACAGAAAATTGCAAATTCTGAATATGGGTTTTGCTGCAAACAGAACAGGACATATGAATCAAAAACTCGGAACAAGACATAAAAATCTGAACCGTGTAAGGCAAGTAAATCAAGTTTCTGTACCACTTGGAAGCTTTTCGCCATCTTGAAGAGTGAGACGAAACACCAAAGACGTTACTAAAGCACCCCGACTCTGATTTTGTCTTCTTGGCAAACATGATTTGCTTTTCTTCTCTGGAAGATGAACAGATCCTTCTAAATAATGTATAGGTAAGGGACAGATTATAATGAGATGTTGAGATGTGATTCACATCATGTGAATATATATAGCAAAATATCTATCAACATTCCCCTTAAAAAAGTGGGAAACTATATCAATATACTATTATCCATTTAATATATTATTTATTTACCATGACATTAAATCTGGAAAAACCGTATTTTTCCTTTTCCAATATGGAATGCGAAAATCCCCAAATGCATTAAACGTTTGTTGTATTAACATATATACAAATCAGTAACTTAACTAAAGTAAAAGGAATACAAAAAGCATTGCATGAGTTTACTTTGCGTTTTGCTACAGCAATTTAATCGTCGCTTGTTGGTTTTTTGAATCATGATTTCAAGTTTTTAAAAAGGACAATGAATGAAAATTATGGAATCATCGTTATTTTTATTTTTTTGGTAGGAGTAATCATCGTTATTTGTTCATACCTATGTTTTACTTGGAAAAGAAAAAAAAAACGAAATTGATCCATCTATATCCCAAAAAAAAAAATAGTTTAAAAATAATTATTTACTGTATCTTTTTAAATCTTACAGATGTTGAAGATAAAGATTAATGATCGTAAAAGAATTTAATCATATTGTCTAAATTTTTAATTTAGAGAAATAAATTTAATTATTTCTGTAAAAATAAGCAGATTTTAATTTTAACACTAGGAAAACTATGCAGATAGTTCTAAGAAGTTTCCTCATAATATATAAATTTTTATTATATTACTAATCTGATAATGATAAAAGTCACAAGTTCATTCCTTATCAGAAAAAAATATTTGTCCCACATAATAATCAACTACTACTTGTTGTGAAGGTAAATTAAAGATATAGTGCTTCTCTTTCCCAATTCCCATCTTATAATTTTTTCAGATTTTCAACTATTTATTTCATTTTATTAGATATTTCTATTCCAAGTTTAAATGTATTTAATATTTTAAAATGATTAAATTATGTAATATTTTCTAATAATGATTTGTTTGAATTGTTTGTGAGTTAACATTTTTGTGTAAATATCTTATTAGACGTGTTTTACCTGAAACATCTTCTCATATACTGTAGATGGAATTTTTGGACCAACATACAACAAATAAGTTGAATACCATGATTATACTTTAATTCATGGCCCATAGTGAAGCCCAAGTAACGTAGCAGTATGGGCCTTTGATGAGAAAGTAGCATATAACAACAAAAGGAAGAGGATGACAAAAAAAAAACAAAAAAAAACAAAAAAGAACAAAAGGAAGAGATTAAACTCATTAAAGGGATACGTTAAAAAGTCATCATAATTCCAAAATAGAGAATAACTAAAAACAAGATTATGATTAGGCGTGCATGACCAAGTTCTAAAAACATTGACCTACAACAATTATTTAATTATTGGCTCTACTTCATGAAAAGACCAACCGACAAACCGGAAGTACCAGTTACCGGTAAAGCCGACGCGTATTATACAGCAGTCGCCAGTTCAGCCGGTTAAATGAAAACCATTCAATTCTTCGTCTTCGTTAAGAAGAGACGGTGACCTTTTAACTAATCCATCTTTTTTTTAAAAACGATTTAACTTTCACACTAATTAATCATTTAAATGGTTTAATACTCCATTAAAGCTGTGAAGGGTGTCTTTTGGGTCAAAGTCTGTTTGACTTCATCGTCGATTTAAGTAATCAATCACCATAAAGCTGCTTCAGGGAGAAAGAGTGAGCTAGCTCTGAGAAAAATTCAGCAATGGCGTCGAAGCTTGTAGTTATAATCGTCTTCATCCTCGATCTCATCGCCGTTGGGTTAGCCATTGCCGCCGAGCAGAGAAGAAGTGTCGTAAGTCCCTCTTCTCTTCTCCTTTACTTGATAGGTTTTTCGTTTTTGCTCACTCTTTATCTGTGATATGATTCTGTGAGAAGCTCTCGGCTAGTGTATTTAGGGAAGCTTAACTCTCTCAAGTAGTGAAACGTTAGCTCGAATTCTCCATCGGTGCGGTCTTTGATTGTTGAAGCATTCTCAGATCTGATTCACAGTCCTGTCTCCTGTTCAACAAATGTGCTGCCACAGGGAATACAAGCACTAGTTAGCATTCAATCGGAGAATTGTATCAGATTCCACTTGAATTTAAAGGATCCAAATGCATAATTTCGATTCATGACTTGGAAATTGACTGTAGAGAGCATAATTTTGTACTGACTACACAACTTTAACGGTTGGTTAGTTTATAGTGTACTGCATTGTTTTTTTTGGTAATGTAGTGTACTGCATTGTTGAAACTACACATTTGAGCTACTGGAATTCCAAATTATATATATATATATATATATGTGTGTGTGTATGGCTCTGCTAAACCACACTAGGACTTAATGTAGATAGATTTCATCCCATGGGTTAGATTTTTGTGCAGAACATTCTTGGTAATTGTTGTGTATTTCCATATTGGGCTAATTGTATGTATTGGCTCTGCAAGATCCAAAATGTGGTTTCTGCTTGTGTTTTTCTTTATACGGTTTATCTTGAAGTAGTGATTGTTTTTGTTGACAGGGCAAGGTTGAAACGGACAGGGAGAAGCAGTTTGAGTACTGTGTTTATGGCACAGACATTGCTACAAGCTATGGAGCTGGTGCGTTTGTTCTTCTCTTTGTAAGCCAAGTCCTTATCATGGCGGCTAGTCGTTGCTTCTGCTGTGGAAAGTCCCTTAACCCTGGTGGTTCAAGAGCTTGTGCCATTATGCTCTTCCTCCTTTGCTGGTAAATAACCAATACACCAATTCTCATCACTCTTCCCCCAACATCCCATAGGTATTAAAACTCAGACTGGCTTCTTTCTATGTGGTTGATTTGCAGGGTGTTTTTCTTGATCGCTGAGGTATGTTTGCTTGCGGCATCAATCAGAAACGCATACCACACACAGTATAGAAAGATGTGGAACATTGACAATCCACCAAGCTGTGAAGTTATAAGGAAAGGAGTCTTTGCAGCTGGTGCTGCATTCACCCTCTTCACAGCCATTGTCTCTCAGTTCTACTACGTTTGCTACTCTCGTGCTAAAGATGCTTACCAGAATCCGTCCTACTGAAAAAGTCAACTCCTATAGCAAGCAACGTAAAGCATTCAGGGTTGGGGAGAACTATCTTTTCGTGGTCGCTGTGTTTGTTTTAGTATCCAGAGTTACTTTATCCTTGTAGGATGTTTAGATTTTATGTTGTCTCTTAAGGAAACACTGATATGTGTGGTTGTTACTTGTGATATCGTGAGATACATTGTTAATTCGTTATGTCGTCTGTTATAATGTGTGAATACTTAAAAGAGTAGAAGACATTGTTTGTTATATTGGTATGGGTTTGCATGATTATGATGTTTTTATGATTTTCCAATGAAATTCAACTGAAAATGAAAAAAAAAAGTAAAGGAATTTGAGTAGTTTATAATCTTTTTTTTTTTTCTTTTTCTTTCGGACAAGAGTAGTTTATAATCTATAAACTAAATATACGTGTGGTAATATATGTTTCAGATCCATGTCTCCAAGGCAGCACAGCACTTGTCAGGAACCCAACTTGTAAGAGGAACAGATAGCTACGAATAGGGCCGGCCCGTATCAGGCCGCAGGCGGAAGTTTGTTTGATATCATTTTTTTTGGTTACTGTACATAAAACACGTTAAAATAGTAAAATACCAAAATATCACAAAACATTGGAATATTCGTTGATCTCTCTCTCTCTCTCTCCAAGACTCCAAATCAGTAGAATCTATCTCTATTTGAAGGTAAACTAAAGATAGTATAGTAATTTTTCTTAAACAATTACACCGGATTGAGAAACTACGAATCTATGAAAATATATTCTATTAACGAACATTGTCAGATAATTCTATTAGTTTGTAAACTGTATTCAGTCCTTTTTGGTTCAATTTTAACAGTAAAATTTATGTTTTAAACTCTGTAAGACCATTGTTGTTCAATGTTGTTAACAATGGTTCTCTTTGTCAATATAGTATGGTGAGTGATCGGCCCGTTTAGGCCTACGGACATTGAACCAATAATAATAACATCTCTTTTAAGTATTAAAAACCTAGCAGCAAGGTATTACTAGGATGTAATGTAGTATAATAACATTATGATGAACAACTAATGTTCAAGTACGAAAATAATTGGTGGCCGGCATAATACACCAACATATGCGTTCATTATGGCACATGACATATTCCATTATGATTCGAAAATTACAACACTTTTTTCAATCTATTGTCAGAATGTGTATTAACCACTTTATAACCGCGATAATATATACTATCTATCTTAACATTTTTGAAGTACATTTTGTACTAAAATCTAATTTGGATTATAACCTTTTATTTTGTATTATTTACATAATCAAACCCTTGCCATTTGAATAAATAACAAAACTTAAAAGTAAATTTTGTAATTAACTCACAAGCAAAAATAAAAAATGGAAACAAATATTTATTACATCAAAAAAATTTCCTAAACTGTCTCTTTAATAAATCAAATCTCTCTCCAACATATTTATATAATCTTATTTGTTTTTAATTTATATTATTACATAAAATAAATTTATAATAAAAATACAAATTTTTTTCCACACATTTTGCAATTTAAATTTTAGAAAACGGACGTATATATATAACTCAATCGATAAAGGAAAAAATATATGTATAACATCTACATAAGGTATAAAATTTTAGATTATAGTTCAAACGATTATAAATACGACTAATATGTTCACCACTACAAATGAGCATGAACTTTGATTTCTCAGGTATGCAAATTAAAATTTTTATTCAGTTTAATATGTTTCCTTATTTAAGAGAAATAAAACTTTTAAAAGGTTTCAAAATATTATAAATTTTCTTTTTTTTTTAATTTGAAAATATTATAAATGTTAAAACTTTTAAAAGCTGAAAATTATAATATTTAATTTAAGTTTTATAGAATATTTAAAATATTAAAAATTTGAAACCTACAAAATTTAAAGTACTATTAATATTTGAACTCTAAATGTTTTTTAAATATAATAAAATTGTACGTAAATATAATTAAACGGGTTTGAGTATACATAAATATGATTATATTTTTATTAGGGGTTGTCTATATTTAAAATATTTTATGGGTTAAGTTAAAATATATTTTTTATTTACAACAAAATTGTCTCGCGGTGTATCGCGGGTTGACCACATATATCTTTTCTTTTTCCTTCCAATTTCATTGATATCAAATCAAGATTACAAAGTCATACAGAAACATATATCTATGAATCTACTTATAATATAAATTCCAAAAATTATATAAAATTAAAATAAAATACACACTTATAAAACTAGACTATATATTCCAACTACGAAAATGATCAACCAAACAAATATATTAATAAATGGACCCGTGGTATACCACGGGGTATATCCTAGTATAATAAGCAAAACACAAAGCAATTATTTGCATGTTTTATTTACATATTTTCAAATGAGCAGTTGAACTTTTTTTTTTCACTACAGATAAAAGTAATAATATCCTTTTCTTTCTTATTATACCTTACAAACAAAATCTATCCATGTTCGAAAGGTACACAAATGGTAGCACTTACGCATGCACGTTCACATTCATTTGCGCAGTCTAATCATACAATAACAATGTATATAGTGTATACAGCCGCATGTATCCACACGTTACACGTATTCTAATTACGTATGTTTATCATGTGGGAAAATGCGTTTTTGCTTTCTTTTTCTTATAAAAAATAGTATAATTTAACAAAATTTTGCAGACGATCTCCAGAGAGAAAACTTAATGATTGCTCTCACACACCAGTTTGTCCTTTGTTAGATCTCACATACTTTTTAAAGTCGCATTTTCATCCGTACTAGCTCTTAATTTTTTTTTAATATAATGAATGTAACATGCATATTTTAAAATTGACTTTAGTGTCTTCTGGTGCACTTGACTAGTCACCTCCAATTAATAAAACTCTAACAACGACAACGACCCAAAAAAAAAGAAAACACTACCGTGTCTCTTTTTAGTTTAATGAATCGCCACTAGTTTTGTTTTAGGGTTAAACCGAATTCGTTTTTTAAAAAGTTATTAGAGCTTATGTTCAAACTTGTTCGATTGAATTGAAGGATATAGATGGATAGTAATCCTAGACAAAACACGAGATAAGGAGAATATGAGTCCTAGTACATAACTATATCTTATCGTAAAGGTTGTTGGCTGGAGATAGGATAACAATTTATAAAGCATATGTTAAAATTTTTTATCGAAATTATTATATCATTGGTAAATTAATAATTATGTAATGTATATACGGAAAGTTAGACGTGTGCGTCTATTTCAAACCAAACAGGATAAACAAAGCTATCTCAATTCGATCAAGTGTTTGCACCGCAAGATTTGGTTTGGCCCGACAAAGAAATACATGGTCAACCTCTACTTTAGCATCCAACAAGAACAATATACAAAAATGGGAATTATTTACACAATTTAACATATATATATATATATATATATGTCGTCAAAATAAAGTTACAATTTTAAAAATCAGACAATTTCGATAAGTAAAGTAGATAAAGTGTGAATGCCTCAAGTTGTGGATTTTCAATATAAAAAAAAAACAGTTCCTTTTTTTTTTTTTGCTTCGTGAGAAATATAAAAATGTATATATTAAGTTAATACTACTATAAATGATTAAACGAATGAATGAAGTTATGCCAACGATCCCTAACTAGAGAGGTTGGTGGGTGAGGATGATTCAGACCAATTTAATTGCTAACAGTTTTGTGTTATCTTTAATGTTGTAGTTTCAAATTGATTTTTTTAATTTTTTTTTTTTTTTTTTTTTACTTTTTTTTTAAAAGAACCTTAAAATAATTAG